GGGTGTCCCATTTCTTTTTGACGGTACCCTAGCGTCGTTATTTGAAACGGAACGCCCTTCATATTTTTTATATTTTTGGTTTCTTTATTGAATTTTAGATCGACTTTGTTAGCAGTCCTCTATACATCACCAGTAGTTTTTGAGATATTCAATTTGCTTTTGAAAAAAAATACGATTTCAGCTCTTTGAATACAAAAACTAAAATCCTGCGGTTTGAACAGTTCGTTTTAACACGAATTACCGAATTCAGATCCGGAAATACCAAAACCTACTTTTGACAATTTTACAAGACGAATAACGTTTTTTTAAAAGTATGACCCATATTAAATGGTACCATTTGTTGCGAAATTAAAAGCTCTTTCTACTGATATAAGTCTAAGAAACCAAAAATGTCAAAATATACAGAGTGTTCCATTTAAAATAACGAAGTTAGGTAGCATTCAAAAGAAATTAAACACCCTGTACGACTGAAAGTATTTTTATTGTATATGCACAATATGAGACCATTTTTTATAAAAACTTTTAATAAATAACAAAGATATGAAAGAAACCGTCTTAGGTGGAACACCCTGTATACTCAATGTAAAATTTGTAGTCAAGATTTGAGAAATTGTATGAAAAAGAAAGCTATTTATAAATTGCTTATGAGTTAGCAAAGCATAAGCAAATATAATGTCGATATGTATGTCACCGTATTATTCTTTTTCTTTTTGTTATAAAAGACGTTTATGTAATACTATGAACAATCCGAATAATTGTTCTCAAGTAAGGTCGATCACAACGTCTGATGGTTTTTGATTCTCTTTTACTTTTTATTAAAAGAAAGCAGTCATAGTTTGTATCGAATGTCATTTATCATTGAAGTTTAACCCACCTCGAGAAAACTTTTACGTATCACTTTGCTTATTAAATTTCAAGGTAAAAAAGTGTCAAACCACAAAAATAACGTAGGAAAACAAACCTTAATTTTTAGATTTGCAATACATAAAGGATGCTTTAAAAATTTTTAGAATACTGCAATAGTCTAATTAATAAAACAATACATACAAAATTTTCGCCTATATTTTAATTAAAGTTGTGTAGAAATTGCAGCCGAGAAAGATAATATTGTAATGAATATATGCTTCATTATTGAAAATCAGTTAAGGAATAAAAAAATTCATTCAAATAAATCAAAGAACGGGATTCAATTTGATAATTTGTATTACATCCTGATTTTTTTTTCATTGATTTCATGCATAATTTAAGTGCATTTTTAAGTACATAAAATCTAAAATATATCTATAATTCCAACCGTTTATAATTTTCTACTTCGTCTTCTTTTTAATTTGAAATGCTAACTTATTTTATTAAACTTTTTATTCGGGTAATATTTAGTTTTTCGATGATATATATGACCAATGGTTTTCGAAAAAAATGTCAAATTTGTAGATGTTCAATCATTTCTTTAAGGAAGCGATAGTCATGTCGTACAATAAAATATGGTCGTGATTGCGTTGCTGCTTACATAATGAATACAATGTTTTAATGGATGCTGTAATCAGCATTTCCAAAAAATGTAAAGTTGTTGCCGGCAAACGTTTGAAACTCAGAAAAACTAAACTACTAATAGTTTAAAATTCGAGTAACTTAACGTTTCTTTCGTAACAACAAATAAGTACACGCTCAATGTGAACTGATCTGTTAATCCAAAAAATCAAATTTTGGATTATTCGTTAAGGTTTATTCACTTCTTTTTGTTGATTACATAAGATTCGTCTGTTGTTGAAATAGGTCAAGCGATCTTAAAATGCGGTGACGTATTTCCATAATAAGTGATGTGCAACCTTTTATTCAAATTAGGTAATAAGGTGAAAATTAATAGTAAGACTATGATATGAAAATTAATAAAAATCAAACAAAAATATTTCCACTTAAAAGATAAAAAGTAGATTTACGATTATTATAAAAATAGAAGACGAAGAATTATCAGTCGCCGAACATCGATATTTAGAGTAACGGACAAGTCAGAATGAATGAAGTGCTAGACGTATGAAACAAAGAACATAGTTCGTGAATTTGGAAGATTATCTGAAGGATCTGCCTTACATTGACGCTGGACACTGCGGAAAAGGAAAAGTTAGAAGTGTTTGAATTGTAATGTTATAGAAGCATAGAAAAGATTGGAAATGAAGACACATTACAAAGGGTAAAAGAACAAAACTCTATAGAAGTCAATAAGTAATAAACGAGATAGTATGGGAGACACCTTCTTTCTAGTTTATATACATGTGAAAAACAGAAACAGGAGTTAGGAGAGGCCGAGACTTACAGGTTGCTCTAATTTTGAAGAAATGCGAAGATTGACTCAAGATAAAAAGAAGCGTAGGTGCGTGTCTAACAACCCTTTGGGCTGATGACGATTATGACTACACCTTTCATACCTAAATTAAATGTTTCCTTCATCATCATAAGATCGTCAGTCTTAAAATTGGTTGGACACGCAGTTCCACTGCTTCCTATCCTAAGCTAATGCTTGCATTTCCCTCAAATTAGAACAACCCACATCCTTAACTATTTGCGAACAGTAATCTAATTTAGGTCTACCTCTACTCCTCTTAACTCCTGTTTCTGCATCTAATATGTCTCTGACTAGACCTTCATGCCTGAGAAGGTGTTTTACCAGCCTATCTTGCCTACTTTTTATTGACTTCCATGGAGTCCACTGTTCTCCTATTCTTTTCAATACCTTCATTTCTTACCTTCTCTGTCAGCGGTATCCTCATCATCCGCCGGAAATACCTGAACGCTTGTAAACTTTTCTTTTCCGCCGCACCCACCGTCCATGTTACGCACCCGTACAGCGGCGCGCTCCAAACATACATCTTTAACAAACTTTTTCTAATTTCTAAATTAGTCGTTTACAAGCATAGAACATAGTGACTTCTTTTTAATGAAGGCGACTCGACTCTGCGCTATCCTCTGGTTTATATCCCTACTACTCCTTCCATCCTGACTTATCTGACTTCTTAGATACCTAAAATCAGCCACTTCTTCTAATTTTTTGTCATTCGCTCTTTCTCTACTTTTTCTTTCCTTGCATATCCGTATTTTTGTTTTATTTTTATTTACTTTTAGCAATACTATTTTGTCAATACCGCTTCTATTTTATTTAAAGCTATCTCTAACTCCTCCTTCCTAGATGCTAATACTGCTACACCATCTGCAAATCTATGCATACTGATCTTTTAATGTTTCCTTAGTTTACCATTTTTATTCTCGTTTCATTCCTTGGAGATAAATTACTTAGAGTAAATCATAAGGTTACTACAGGAAACGATAACACGAATGGATTGTGTATTGTAGTGATTATGCCCTTCTCTTTGTTTACACTAATGTACAAGGTACGAAAGGAGAAAATACGAATCGACCATAAATCGATTGTCGAGCCTCTTTCGACAATAAAAACTATGAAACGGGGCCAAGTGTTTTTTATTTTGTTGTTAGTAGTGAAAATGAATATTGAAAGTTCTAAGCTGACTTTCGTATCGGAGGTTTTTCATGTTACAGATTCGTTACCTACTTGTGGTTACTACCAAAATGAATCATTGGAAACCAAATAAAAAAACGGATTCGTATTTATAATGAAAATATAAACACACAAGTAAGATCGTAATCTATGTAATTTGCTAAAGCATCCAGGAGAACATTGCTGTAGAACAACTGAATATTAATAATTCACCAATGAATTAATTTTTTGAATTAACTTTACCCACTACAGATAACCTCAAGTTAATGAGGAAAAACTACTTGTAGCTTAGGGGTAGAGTAGTGGTGTGTAAATCTATGTGCTCGAGTTCAATTCCTGGCGAAGGAGTGACTGCAGCAACAATTTTTTGTTGATTGTGTGTAGTGGGTAAAGTTAATAAAAAAAAAGAATCTATTATATTTGGCCTTCAAAAATTTGTAGTATCTCATTACCTTATCAGCAGTTCCCCATCTTGAACGTCTGGTTAGTAATTATATATAAATGCCTACAAATGAGATTATAAACCCAATCTATGCCTTTTAAAGATATGATAATAAAAATATTAAAATATTAATGTGAAAATTAATTTTCAATTTTTACCCACTATAAATTACCTCAAATTAATAAGGAAAAATTTGTTAGTGTTGTCACACCCTCGTTGAGAATCGAACCCGAATCTCTCGTACCTTAGTGGTCAGAACATTGGTGCATAAAGCCAAAGGCCCGAGGTTCGATTCCCGGCGAGGCTGTGACAACAGCAGCAAATTTTTCCTCACTAACTTGAGGTAATTTATAATGGGTAAAAATTGAAAATGAATTTTTACATTAATATTTTTATATATTAACCACTATTAAATGTCAAAATGTTTTATATAGTATTAAAAATATTAAAATTTGAATAATGAATACTTAATATTCCATTGATTGAATAATTGTATGCGTTTTTGAAATTTATACAGGGTGTTTCCTAAACATGCGGAAAATATTCAAGGGTGTGATTCCTGAACATTTTTCGACAAATGTTTGTAGGAACTTTTCGTTATGAAAATGCCTCAGGAATGACCACTGGAATTTTGCTCGCATATTTAGAAAACATAAATAAATAAATAAATGGATTGTTTTTCAAACCCTAATTATATAGTAACTTTATTTGTACTAAAGCCTACTTTTCAAGAACCTCTTAAAACTCAATAAAAAAAAACATTCCACAATTTATTGCTTTTGATGATTTTGTGATTTCCCGCTTTTCACGAATTTTATTAAAAATTGTTCAAGATTAAAGATTCACTGCTTTAGCACTAACATTGCACAATCTATTGTTTATCTGTAGGTACAAGTAGAAAAAATTGTTTGGCTTTGCTTTTCTTTTCTTTTCATTTTCTCGTTAAAGCACGACATGATCACAAACCGTTGCTGTTGAAGAGTGAGAGAACTTTCACTCTCGTAAAACACTCGCGAAGAACTAATACCTAACTTTTGAGTGGGTACCTACCAGCAAGGTGATCTGCATCCTCGTACACCACACTCTCGACATCTTAAAAGCACTAACTGGCAAATAACTGTTAACACTCCTTTATATAGGTACGGCCGATCAAAGCCCGTCTGGTGGTCAATTCAAATCCCAGATGATACTTGTTGCAAGACATTTTCATTATCAATATTTTATCATTACTACTTTTTTGCTGCTGTTATTATGTTATATGATTCTTGTTATTGATTGATGATCCCTTGAATTTCTGACTACTGCAGGATAATGACTAATTTTTAAATAAATAAAGGATTTACAATTTGTTGAAAGGAAATTAGGTTATAAATAGAAACTTCTGAATTGATTATTTTAAGACATTGTTTTATTGAGTTATATATAATATTTTCCTCATTAATTTGAAGAAATTTGTAGTGGTTCTAAAATCGAAAAGTGATTTCACGTTGATGTTGCATATCGATTATTTTATGTTTGATCATCGGCATTGCTGCCGTTACCTCCACGAAGCTTAGTAGTACAATATTGGTGAGTAAAACCAGGGACCCGGATTCGATTCCCGACGAGGAAAAGACAGCAACAATTTTTCTTCATTAATTTGAAATAGCAGGTAAAGTTAATTCAAAAGTTAATTCACCAATGCAGTCATTACCTTCTTGGGTAATTGCAGCTGTTCTTCAAATGGGACAAGATGTTAAATATACTTAAAAATGTAGGGATGATTTATAAAGATAGAAGAGTGATACTCAGTTTGTATAGAGAGTAACAGGCAGTTATAGAGCTGGGACTGCAACGTAGAGCAGTAAATATTAGGAAGGGAGTCAGACAGGGATGCACACAGTCACCGCTACTTTTTAATCTATACATCGAAGACGCGATCATCATTAAAGACAGTACAACTGTAGGGATAGATGTGTAAGGGCAAAAGATTAGTATGCTTAAATTTGTAGATGATATAGCAGTATTAGTATCTAGCGAGGAGGAATTAGAGATAGCTTTAAATAAAATGGAAGCGGTACTAACAAATCAGTACTGTATGAGAATAAATGAAAGTAAACTAAAATACTGGTATGCAAGGGAAGAAAAAGTAGGGAAAGAGCGAATATAAAGATAGGAGACGAAAAATTAGAAGAAGTGGCCCATTTTAGATATCTAGGAAGTCAGATAAGTCAGGATGGAAGGAGTAGTAGGGATATAAAGCAGAGGATAGCGCAAGGTCGTGTCGCCTTTAGTAAAAAGAAGTCAGTTCTATGCTCGCGAACGGTTAATTTAGATTCGAAAAATGTTGTTGACGGTGTATGTTTGGAGCACGGCGTTGTACGGGTGCGAAAAATGGACAGTGGGCGAGGCGGAAAAGAAATGGTTAGAAGCGTTTGAAATTTGGTGTTATAGGCGGATGATGAGGATATCGTGGGTAGAAAAGGTGAGAAATAAAGAGGTGTTGGAAAGAATAGGAGAACAGAGGACTCTATGGAAGTCAATAAAAAATAGGCGAGATAGGTTGGTAGGACACCTTCTCAGGCATGAAGGTCTAGTCAAAGACATATTAGAGGTAGAAACAGAAGTTAGGAGGGGTAGAGGTAGATCTAGATTAGATTACTGTTCGCAAATAGTTAAGGATGTGGGCTGTTCTAGTTGTAGGGACATGCGAAGTTTAGCTCAGGATAGGAAAGAGTGAAGGTACGTGTCCGATCAGTCTTGGGACTGACGACCTTATGATGATATATAACATTATTGATGCAAGTATTTTCCAATATTAAAATGTAACAGGAGCGTTTGGGGAAGTTTAAAATAGCAATTGGCTTTAGTACCATGATAACGCGCCTGCTCACACATCGTTGCTTGTGTGCAAATTTTTGGTCAGAACAAATAATACCACAGCCACCGTATTTCCCAAACCTGTCCTCCTGTGACTTTTTCTTGTTCCCGAAACTGAAGAGGCCCATGAAAGGACAAAGCCACACTATAATTGAGGAGATAAAAACGACATCGAAGGAGGAGCTGAACAAGATCACAAGAAATGATTTTTTGAAGTTGTTCCAGGATTGGAAAAAACGTTGGCACAAATGTATAATATCTGGTGGGGATTACTTTGAAGGGGACAAAATAGATATTCATGAATAAATAAATAATTTTTGAAAAAACACAAAATTCGCGATACTTTTTGAACAGACCTCGTATGTGCCAGAAGAATAGGAGAACGTATCCGACACTAATTAGTTTGCTTTACAGGTTAGCAATTAGAAATGGAATTTTATTTAATTTTTTAGCAGCATCCCTTTAGTAACAAATCGTACTCGNGAAGGGGACAAAATAGATATTCATAAATAAATAAATAATTTTTGAAAAAACACAAAATTCACGATACTTTTTGAACAGACCTCGTAGTCAATAAACTTTTACAACCCTCATTTTGGCTCTGATTCCAAAACTGAATTTCAATGTGGGGAAGAAACGGAAAGCATAAGCTCACTCAAAGTTTTATTTCTTACGAAATAAGGGACGCAGATTCCTGGTGTATGTTTTTTTTATTCAATCACCATAGTGATTGCATATCAATAATTGTGGTGGTTTAGGAAATACAGCGGTGTGGGAAATATGTTGGTTAAAAGTGGTCGACCTAGGGTTTTGTTTTTAGAATCTTCTCGAATGTCTTGAAATTTCCTCAGATATAATGTAGTTAGGGCATTTTCATATTCTTCCGCCAGTACCTTAGATAAAAAATGTTTAGAATATTCTATAATGTACGAAATTATTCCAGTTTAATGGGTGTGTACTAGTGTGTTTTAGAGTTCTCCTCAGCTTGAATGTTCTCGAATTGTCCTCTTATAGAATGTTCTAGAGAACCGAGCCGAAATCGAGAATGTTCTGAAATGTCCGTTATGTGTGAATGGTGAGGCTAACTTCTGACACTATGTTACAGCATTTTCATATTTTTCCACCAGCACTTAAAATAAAAAATGTTTGAAATCTCCTATTATATTGTACGGAATTACTCCGGTTCGGTTGGGAATTGACCACCGGTCCGTTAAGAATAAGAGAGGCTGTACTGAAACACACTTTATTGTTTAAAGGGTTATCCTTAACTATAACATTCTCCAATATTACTAGAATTGTCCTTAGCTGGAATTTACTAGAATTAACTAGACCTGAAAAATTAAGGACATTCCAGAATGCTCAAGAACCATTTTGGAGCATTTTATATCTAGGCATTTCGATCAAATTGTTCTAAAAACTGTTTGAAATCTTCTAAAATGTTTAAGATTTGTTCAGTTTGGTGACCGTCGACCACCAAACAACTTTATAGAATAACTGAGAATTCAAACCCAACGAAGTGGGTTGTCATTTACTGAAAGGCAACACTAATGGTAAATGATATTTATGCTGACGATTGACCTTCTCTTTATATTTGTTTTAATTAACAATTAAATTACACCATTCCATTCCATATAAGACGGCCATTCCATGTAATAACCCGTGAATGAATATTATTTTCATAATTTTCAACATCAAACATTAAAAATTATAGCTTTGCTTGTAGTTCAGCACACGATCCCGTAATACGAGGCAAAGCTTAACGTTCTTTTCAATGAGGCAAAATAAAGTGGGTATAAATGCAGTTTTTCTTGAATAAATCACCATCAACTTGTGAGAACGTCTTTAAATAACCGTTACAAATTACAAGTATCTATTTACGTTTAAAGATACTATCTATGGTTTTGAACGGAAACAGCTTTTAGTTGGATATGAAAGGAAAGAATTTCGTCTTTTGTTTGCACAGGGCTTTTACCGACAACGTGAGAAGTCACTATCACTTTTTCCGGGGTTAGAAATTACGTCTCTCGCATACATTGCTAATTCCTAAAGTACGTAATGCATATAAAATACCGTGGACATTAACACTATTTCTTCAGCTGCAAGAATCGTTTGGTACACTAAAATCAACTGTCAGCGGGTTTAGGTGCAATTTGAATGCTAATTAGTACTTCCTATGACTAATTAAATGTTCATCGTAAACGTTATGAATATGTAAATACATTCTGCATTTTTTTTACTCGCTTTGATTGTTTTACTGCAACATCTTATTTGCCCTTGGTACATAAAGTCCTTCTTAGTTCTATATGTACCTAATGTAAGAAAAATACACAATCAAATTTCTACACATTTTTATTTACAATTTTTCAGTTAACAAAACAGAGTGGAATTGTAAGTTTTTACGACCAGTTAATATTCAGATTATCAGGTTAGAGTGCAAATCACCTAATCATAAGTAAATCCGTGAAAATGTAAAAGATTAATTCTGCTTCTTAGATTATCTAATTTTTGAATTAGGTACCTACTCTAAATATCTAAACAAAGCACAAATAAATGATCAAACTGCATTCGTTAATGTGAACAAGTATGATCATTACTTGACTCAGAAATATTAGGTTTAGACGCATTAATTCACTATTATTTGGAAAAATAACCAAATTAATGATAGAAAGTGATGACCAATTCTTATTTTGCGTTGCTCTAGTGATACATGATAGTGCAAAAACTATGTATTTCCTTTTTTTTTTTTAACGAATACCACCCGTCAATCATAGGAATGATTAGTCCTACAAAATATTATAAAAAAAGATGGAATCATAGAACAGAAACGAGAAAAACCTTGTTGTTGCTCTGGGTCTTGCTTATTCGGTCTTGATATTGATCTTGTTCAAATACTTATAGTCTTGGTCTTCGTCTTGGTCTTGCTGATATAGTCCCGGTCTTAATCTTAGTCTTGCATGTTAAATCGTGGTCTTGCTCATTTAATCTGATACTTACGTTATTTTGTTGATAATTCTTAAATACTGAAATAGTGAAAATAGTTGTGAAAGTACCTTCACCCTAACATATAAATTGAACCTTCCTACAACGCATAAAATTATCTTCTAGCGAATAAAATAGTAAAAGGCATAAAAACAAAGAACACTTACTCTGGGGCCATTCCTGTAGATCCCTTTTTTCTAACAGTGGAAAAGTTTCTTTTTTCAAAGAAACAAATATATTAATA